GGAATGGCATAACCAATACTGAAATTTCAAGTGCAGTCGCCAAGACTCTAGCTTGAATAGAGGTTCTCAAGTACTTGAATTATATTCTTGCAAACAAGTGCATGAATCTGACACTGCACGTTAATTGACTTGGTTTGTACGTAATGACTTCATTTGCAGACACAAAAGGCAGCTCATCTCGTGGCTCCTGCAAGAAAACTAGGTACTAAAAAGAACCAAGTTATTCAGACAGAACAATTTGGGATCATTACTTTGGGCAGTCATTTACTTTTTAGTCTGTCAGACTGAATCTTTTTCAAAAGATTGTACAAAGGAAGTCCGCACTTAAGTATCAGTGCAAAGTTTCTCCTAAAACAAACGGAAATGGAAGTGCTATACGCAGTCATATAAACAGAGGGCTTTGGGCAAATATCTCTTATGAACATCTCACCTACTCAAAGATCCCCTTCCTCTTTCAAAATAAGGAACCCGAAATTTGATGAAATGGTCTCTTCCTTGTGATATTTTTATGTCTCATGATAAGAAACTGAGCAAAGTTACAAATAGTACATAAGACTTCAGCTTTATGGCCACAGATTCCCAGATAAAATGCCTATCTTTGTAACCTCAAAGAACTGACACTGAAGTAACAATTTCACTTAGTTCAAAAAAAAATTAAAAAAAGAAGCAAAACTGAAAATGAACCATACTAACTGGATAAAGTTTTCAAGAGCTGGCCAAGACAATCTTCTGAGACAGGCTCTGCTTCATAAATGTATGCTAAAAAAACATCACAAACTTCTGGCAGTTTGCTCAGTAAAGTGCTTGGCTGTTAAGACACACCTTTCAATTTTCTTAAGCCAATGCCGTTGCTAGTTAGATTTTGAATATGAGCTACTTCATCTTGATTTCATTCCACTCCATTAAACAGTATGTTTTAGAATAGCCTTTCTGCCTGCAGTTCCAGCAAAGGAATCAAGTCTATTTCTTATTAACCTCCCAGCCAAGAATTTGCTTGTTTGAAATCTCTCTGCTCGTCTGTCTCATAGCACTGAAAGTCCTCACCTCTTGTTTCAGAAACCAGTCTTAAATCTCACTGGTTACCGTTACTGTTCTAGTGTCATTGCCACCACAGGGAAGGCTTCTGAATTAGAAGTTTATCCTCTGCTGCCACTGCCAGCAAGAGCAGCTCAATTAGTTCAGAAACTACATTATGACAGACATCTTCAGTCCTTAGAAAAATCTCAGTACAGATGACCTCACTTCACCCAGAAGCAAAAGACAGCTTCCCATACCCATTTAAACACTGAGGAACATGCCTGCTGCAATTTGTGGTATTTTACAAATAGAAATACCACTGCATTCATTTGAAATTAAGAAATAAAGTCAAGTAGGAAAAGAATGCATGAAACAGATGAAGAAATGAAACATTAAAAACCCTTACAGCCATAAAAACAGTGCTGTGATATGTTACCAATACAAGTGAGTTTGACACTGGCAAAAGGCACTAAGCCAACAGCCCTACAAAATTCTGTCCAAAGAAAAGATGCAACAAGAAAAGCATACACACTGCTTTGTATTCCCTTTTTTTAAGAGAAGAGACTATTTCAAACCTGAGGATTCACTCATTCCTTGTCTTTTATTGAAACTGCCAATGGCATACCAATTATGAAGACAATTTTTGAGACACATCACAGAACTTATTTCATATGGCTGAAACCACTCCCACATATTTGAAATACGGCTACTCCAAGAAATGAGGGCTCTATCATCTCCAGATGATTTTGGAAAGTGTTTAAATAGGGGAAAAACCCACCATGCACTTTAAACACTACCTCTTAGAAAGTCAAAATAAACAGTGTAACTAGTATTTTAGATAAAGGAGAAGTTGCACCCAAAATGTGCATAGAGCAAAAGAATGTGCTGCTGAATTGCATATTGTGATGCCCAGTTCTTCTGGCATTACAGTACAGTTCCATCTTTAATAGTCTCAGAACATCTTCAAATCCTATTTCTCCCTAATCTTCTTTTTTTTTTTTTTTTTTTTTACTGCTGGCATGCCATAATAATTTATGACTTGCAAAGCTTACTGAATGCTTAGCAACACTAACATCAGATCCCAGTCAATTTCCTAAGGGAATGACGAAAACGTGCTGCATGCTGTACACTGGCAGTTCCTCCTCCCTTCTCTGAGGACAGGCATGACAGAGCTGGTCTATCAAAACCAGATTCTGAGAAGCATGTTACTACCATTAATTATAATCCATCCACTTCCATCCCTGTTTAAAGACAGGCATTATCAGAGTTTTTCATTTTGAGAAAAGGAAACTTCAGTCAGTCTCTTATGTAGGGAATTAGTTATGGGGAAAGGTGTATTGATACAGCCACAATTGGGCTAAGTTTCTACAGAAACTCAGTGCACCACTTACCCACTGCCTCCTATTAACCCATACTAACGTAGTGTTGGGTCTCCTCCCCCTTCACAAAACGCTGTAGAAGCTCTAACAAAATAGGACTGGTTGCATTGTCCAAAGTCACTCACCTGAGAAGTTTCTACTCCTTGATTCATGTCCTTGAAGCTGACCGCAACAACAATGTCCAAGCTGCTCAGGTATGGTTCCAACTACGCAAACAAAATCAAAATGTGAATTTACACTTTATACTTCACCTACGAATGAAGGTAAAGCAAAATAAAGCCTAGTTAGTTTACTTCTGTGAGTCATTTAACAAATTATTTCTGCAAATGTGACCCAGTTGGGCAGATTTTGATTTCAGAGAATTTCAAGCAAGAATTAGTGTTGTGAATTACTGTTCCAGATAAACCTTTAGTAACTGCTAAGAATTTATGAGCTTACCTAGTGGTGACGGAGAATATGGTCTAGAAGATCCTGTGGATAACCTGCGCCCAACACCCTGTGCAGTGTCAGCTGGTACTGGAGAACAGGAGCCCATCTTCATGAAGCCCATTGGGCTAGTATTTGAGCGTCTCACAACTCCAGCTCTAACAAGGTAAAAAGAATGCTTACACACGCTATAGTAACTGCGGTTCCTTGAGGTAAGCTTCAGACTCCTCTAGGGAGTATAATGATCACTTAAAGAAAACACTGATATTTAAAGAGAAAGCTATGATGTTGAAGATTATTAAGCTAATAAGCTAAGCTTCCCATACTGAAAACAAGCAAGATTTAATTCCCTTTGTTCACATTGACTTTTTAACTTGCCATAATGCCAACAATGCCATAATAGTCTGTTAACTGGATAAAGTTAAAACAGATATCCTATCCCTTAGTACATGGATTCCTAATCTTCAAACAACCTGAACATCAAATTTTGAATTTTAGAATCAAGTGAAATGTGTTGCTGCAAATGCCCATTTTTATGTCAACTAAGAGTCTGACGAATTTTTCATACTGGGTCTGGTACACAGGTCAGACAACTGAAAACAGATTATTTAAGGGAAAGGCACTTCTCCAAGCATAGCAACTATTATAAAATCAGAGATCTAGAAAAAAATTGCAAGGAACCACAGGTTTTGTTTTTGTAAAGACCTCCACAGTTCTGAGCAGTCTGTGTCTGAGTCTTTGACCTTCATCATCTTGATCCTGTGGACCACAAGGCAGAGAATAAGTCTGGCACACCAGAGCTTTGTAGTAAGACAAGCTGGTCAACTAGCATGCCAAAAATTATTTCCTTGGTATTCTACAGAACAATGCATTCATCTCGTCACTACGTGTGTAAAAACAAAACCTAACTTATTACTGACTTTCTAGTTTATGATGTAATGCCATATAATACACAAAGAGGAATAAAAAGGCAAGACTTCATCTTTTTACCTTTTTGGGTTGTATTTGAGTGAAAGAACAAGCTCATTTTGTTTTCGTGAAAAACATCAAGTGCCCATCCAACAATCTTGAGATTGTGAAGGACTATTATTTGTTATCATTAAAATGCCTCTTTAGTATGTTTTTGTGCAGAAAAAAAAATGACATCAGCAAGAAAGCACAGACATCTGTCAGGGTACAAACACAAACTAGAACCAAGAAAAAAGAGTTAAAAGAAACCAAACTAACCTTGGTGATCCGTGGGGGTTTGACACGGGGCTGGCAGTAGAGGAGAGGTTCTGTTCTATGCGCTGGTAATTCCGTAGCTGAGTGGGAACCGGGATAGGTGCTGTTTCGCTGCGGGGGGATACTGAAGGTTGGCAATGCCTGAAGTTGAAAGGTATGGAGGCAGGAAATAAATATAGGTGGATAAGTCTCTCTTCGAATTGTACCATTGTTGAAGTTTCAAGAAAACCTAGGAAATGGGCAAATAAGCTGCTTCTGCACTCCCTGCATGCGACTGTGATCTGAGCTTGCCCTAACCTAGCTCTAACACTTCACAGAGGAAGAGCAGGAACTGTTCGTTCCCACCTACCTTTCTTACACTGGCTGGTATCAGATCGAGCTGAGAGTGCAGTACTAGCCGAAGCACTTTGTCACGCATCACAGCGACCTACAGATCCCTCTGATTTCCTGCCAATCAGCCCGCCCTGTTTACCACGCTTCAAAATAGCGTTCTAGGAAAACCCACTGCGTTAAGAACAGGAAGTTCAGCTGCAGGGCTGGAATGTGTACAAAAGCCACTAAAGCACAGTCAGAGATATGCCAAGAGACACGGTGAACTTGCAAAAGGAAAACATATTATGTAACCAGCCCCTGACAAAATGACCAAAACCACACACCTGAACGTTAATCCACAAACTGCAGATCAGCATTACCCAAGTTCACCTGAAGTGTCAGTGACCTGGCTTACCTCAGTGTACTATCTGATAAGGGAATCAAACCACTGCAATGTAATCAGTTACCAACACTTTTAAAGGAAGACAGAATTCAATGGAAAGAATTTCAAACAAATGGGCTTTTTGGAATATAATCAGTTCAGTATCTGGTCCTTTATTGACGACCTCTTCAGAGAAAGATTAGAAATTCTCAGAGGAAAAGTGAGAAAAGTTCTACCCTGACCTCTAGAAAACAAGCAGTTACGGCACTCACTGCATGGCTACAGATGAACAGAAATCTGGGTTTCTGACTGTCTTTGTCCTATTCTCTTTGCTGCCTCTGAGAATGAAATACTACTTCCTCACATGCATAGAACTTCCTTAGCAAAAGAGAATTTCGTCCTTTTATCGTCACCGTGTTTCTAGATATTACAAAGTAATTTGGAAGTCAGCTGTGAGCACAGTCAGTGGAAGGCCTGAAAGCTTCCAGAGAGGAGAAGGTCTCACAAGTGGAAACCACACAAAGGCAAGCAGGCAGCCTGCTACAACTAAAACAACACGCCAAGGTAGCACAGGGGGGGCTCCCGAGGCCCGACCGCTGGGAGAAGGGAAGCAGATGTTACTTAAACTGTGGCAGTGACACTGAGGAGGCCATGAAGGCACTTCAACTTTTGAAGTACTCAGCATGGAAAATGCCTTCCCCTGCTCCCACACAGCCTTACAGGTATATCCAAGCAAGCTCTGTGAGCTAGCTGGAGGCAGCAATGCTGTGTTATTGTGGTGGAGAGGCATGGTACAGTACATGGCCTTCCAGCAGGGCTGTCCAGCTCAGGCCCAAAGCTAAGGTCTGGTTAGGCATCCTCAAGTCTGATGTCATTTGTTGCTGGTTAGAGAAAATGCAACAGAGATGTGTGCAGAGTTGCATGCAAATCTTGTTTCTCTGAGATCCAGAGAATAAAATTAGCAATTAACCACAGGAGAGTGAACCACCTCTACCTATTCTGCCCATTCTGGCTGGAGCCTGAGAAGTGTTACAGCTTCTTCTACTTGACATAAAGCAGCAGAACTATGGGTATAATTCAGGCGGTTTGATTAGCTAATCAGAAAAATTCACCATTTCATAGGACACAACCTTTTTTTTGGGGGGGGAAGAAGTCACACACAATGAAAGAACATTTCTCAAGAAACAAAAAAACAAAACCAAAAAGCAAAAGCAGAGTCTTGTAGACCATCAGACACGCACTCTGCTTCCTTCAGACCATGCCCCAAGCAGCCAGTTAGTTATCGAATCTACTCAACCAATAATTAAATCAAACTATTAGAGTACAAACACTGAAAGTGTAAACAATAGGCTCCTGTTTCTAATCACACAACTGTTTAGCTCTTAACTTAGTAACGCACAGATAACATAACCGGCATATTTTCATAAAACCCCTAATGCTACAAACTGACACCTGACACAATTTAAAATAGAAAATTACAACGTATTTGTAACATGTTGTACATGGCCAATCCAGAGCAAATGGATTTTTACAGACAAACCATCTCCATTGTCTGCCCTTAAACGTAAAAGGTAAGGCTAAAGCTGTATTGATAGCCCATGTCAGCAGATTTCAGAAACTGCACAAAGATCAGCACAAAGTAGCAAACTTTTCTTGTGACAAGCATTTCTAAACAAATAATGCTGACTTGCAGCACTGTAGTATCAGCATAAGCCAAAAATACACCCAACATAATAGCTTTATTCCCCATTTAGCCACTCATCTTCTTTCTATTTGTATTGAAAACATTATGAAATCCAATACTTGGTCAAATGACAAATCTAACCCTTCTGTTTAGATACTACACGAGTAGTTAAACAGTATGATTAAGCTTCACATTTTCCAATATTATACAGGAAAGATTTCAGGCACCACTGATGAATTTCAGTTCTATTTCAAACCAGCAGAAACTTAGTCTACAACCATGTGGAAGAAAGAGGACTTATAACAGTCCTGCTGGTGGAAAAGCTGCAATACATCTTTAGCTCTTTCATGTGGTTTCTTTGGTATCTTATGAGACACAAACATGAAATTCACAGTAATCACTTGCACAGAAGCCACACCCCGTTACCAGACACAAGACAATCCAGCCACGACACACAAATCCATAGCAATCTGGGCTTTGCAAGTTCCTCTTCTCTCACAACCAGTTCTTAAAACATATACTGTGTTCAACATCTTGACTCACTAAATGAAGACTGTGCTGTGCTTCATTAACACCAAAAAGGACAAGTCAGTTATGTGTCTGAAGTTTCTGCTTTCAACCAGTTCAAAATTTAAACAGACAAAGGAATGCTCTCATTCCTTAAGGAAATCTTCTAGGGATGCATCAGAGCCAGAAGTTAGCTATGTAACCATTCAGCTATTAGAATGCCTTAAGTGTAGAGAGTCTGGAAAAAACAGGCCTAGTTTCTATTTCAGTTCAGTTTCCAGTAGCCATCCACAATTAAACAACCAACCAAAACAACCCCAACTGTATAGTACCAGACAACCTTTTTAAAAGAGAGGAAATACTATGCCTACATCACACACCTGTTAGCTGTACCAGAAGCAGTACTTCGAGAAGAGACTGAAGATGGTTTTTGTACAGTTCCTGAGCTTCCAGAAATAGTTAATGGCGACTGCCTGTGAAAACAAAAACCACTGTCAAAAGACAGGTCTTCACATCAGAGAAACTACCTACTTTGCAGAAAAACTTTATGATTTCGAGTTGTTTACATAATCATATTAAATTCAACTTGGCATATTAATCTTTAAGAAAGTCCACACAGCTATGTAAATCCATCACTGCCAAAAACCCAGCAACTCCTTCCACAGCTGCAGTATCAATTTTAGAACATGAGACTTCTTTTGGATAAAGTTCAGCACACCTACCCTCCACACATCAAGAACTCGCTTGAAGCCCGCCTGCCAGCTGCTCCCAATGGCATATCATCTACAGTAAGCAGAAGAACACATTGAAAACCCATGTTATGAAGCAGAATCTTAAAAAAAAAAAATCTCCAATATTACCATTGTAGAAATAACCACTTCTGAAAAACTTGTGTGAACGTATAAAAGTTTTCCACAAACTGGTTTTTTGTATGAAAATACCTCAAATGTGACCACCAACAAAAATGTTAAAGAATTGCCTTCCCAGTTACAAGTTTTTTTGCTCTTTGTTTTTGTTGATGTTTTTCCTTTTTTGCTATACTAGTATTTTTAAATAAAATCCATTGTTTAAGAGTACACAGTATCAGCATTGGGAAATTTATAATAATGAATGACAGAAATCCTTCAAAGATGAAGGCACTAATTGAGTCAAATATTTAACATGAGTTGGTGGCATCATATAAAAATCAGCTGACTAGTTTCTCTGTGGCAATTCAGGTTTGGACAATGTTGTAAAATGGCAATGTGCTACATCCAAGCCTTTCTATTGTATAGCTCAGTCTGATGCCTTCCATCTTAAATTTTTTTTTTATGTTTTTACCTGCACTTGTTTATTATCTAAAGCTCTACAGCATGGACTATAAATGTTCAGTCAGTCTGGAGGTAACAAAGTGCCTGCCTTCACTAAGAGAATCCTTAGGATTCTTATCAGCAGTTGTTTACAACTGTCTCTTTTCTTTTACTGCCAAACCCCAGTATTTTCCATGACTTTAAATCACCTTGGTATTTTTGGCATATCTGGCTACTCAATTGAAGGCGAAAATGTCCTGGATGGACATGCAGGTGTACCAAACAGTCTCCCTTCAAAAAGTAATCAAACTAAAGAAATGAGTTCCAATGTGAATGGAGATACATTTAGAAAAAAGACAGCAAAGAATAACAGGACATAAAGGTATGTTACGAGTGGAAATTGTTTTAAAATGTAAAAATAAGGAAGGTGCTTACATGAGTGGTCTGAAGAGATATTGTGTGGGACAAGAACAAAGTCATCTGTGTCACAAGAGGAGTTCTTGCTACTGGTACTGGCAGAATCTTTAGAGACTTGAAGATAGTTAGGAGGACCCAATGGAGGGGAAGACAAGTTTTCTTCTTGAATATGCTGCATGTCTGGCAGAGACTGGAGGCGATGGAGTGTAAAAAAGAAAGTAAAAAACCCACTGTAAATCCAGTGATTCAGAATGTTGAATTGCTCTTTTAACTATGAAACTTCTAAAGTAAGAATCATCACTAGCTTTGGCAAAAAAAAAAAAAAAGAAACAAAAATGGTCCAAGATTTAAGTATTTAGAAATATAAAATGTATTTGAATGTGGAAATTTCAAATACTGGATAACACTGTAGTGTTAATTTAGACATTTCTATATTAATTAGGCTGTGAATTTTAACAATTGCAATTTATTCAGTCATTCCTGATGATACAGATGCACCGCTTCCAAATACCACATAAAACTGAAGTCACCAGTTCATATCAGTATAAGGGGCCTTAGCCAAAAAGGCCAATTCAAAATCTATCTGTAACATTCATTATGTTGCAAACCATATTAGCATATCTGAAGATTTGCTACTCTAGCATTTAATACATATTTTTTTCTTTAACAAAAAATAACAACCACCACCTCAAAGTACAACAAAGGAGTAAGAGAGAACCAAAACGTTAATGGCATTCTTCTAGCAAAAGACAGGGGTATTCCTTGCTCTGTGCTCTTAAGAACGACTGTTTACACTGTTCAGGAATTCAAAGATCTAAAATTCAGTAACTCTTGGCTAAACATTACAGAAAATATTTTCTAGACATTGTTCTGTAAAACAGAGAACTTACTGGAGGAGAAGCAAAACGGCATGAAGGAGAGCTACCACAGGAACTGCCAGAGACTGAGCCTGCATATGTGGGCACTGGTACAGGACAAGCTAGAAGAGGAAAACCCAGGCAGGAAAAAAATGGGACTAAGATTTTGAATGGCTGAATTTCAAACAAACTCACTTCCTCACTGCTTTTCATTCATAAACCCTTATACAACTTATAAGCACAGCACATCCTTAAACACACAGGGGTATTTAAGTTCAGTTGAAATGTCAAAGGAGCTAGTAAATAAATATCACATCTCAGTTTAGCATAAAGCAAAAAAGGATTCAACACTTAGGCTTACCATAGAGCACAACAACAGACTTGGGAAAATGCCTCAAACGCTTAGTGTGATATTTGTCAGATCTTCCAGGCCCCAACACTCATCATTTACACAAATAAGTGGAAAACCAAAACTACTTACATTTTTTGACTGTTGAAATCTGATCCAGGAAAGGGTGGCTGAAAAATGCTTCTGTAGAACAAGAAACAACAACCATTGTGAGTAAATGTACAAATGACATAGAATTTACAGACGATATTGCAGATGGTGATAAATGGTTGCCTTCCCAGAATCAATATTTCAGAGCCAGAGGGTGAAGAGCTTATAAAAGATTAAAGCCTTCTATGTTATATCTTGCTACAGTATTTGGAAAAGAAACAAAAAATCAATTGAGTAACTTCAAACAACAGTCACAGCAAGGCAAATCAGACTGAATTACTGGAGGACATTTTATGACTGCACTTAAGGATCATGTACACAAGAAGCCTTCCTATATCCTCATGAAATGATGTTCTCTATGTTCAATATGGTACTAATTCTGTTTTAATTTGCTCTTCAAAATGACGAGCATCTCTCACATCAAACACTGAAAGTATTTTCACTTCTGCCTCTCTCAAAGACTGACACTTATTTTTGAACCCATTAATGCTACTCCTTTGGTTGCTGAAAATCACAACAGAGCAGCAGCCATTCTCCTTCCCACCTCCCAACAGCAGAACATGACCTGCACAGCTGGTTCATAGCACAAAGCAAATTAAACACAATTTCTTTAACAATTTCCTCAGTTAACTTGTTACTGTTACAATAGAAACATTTTGCTTGTGTTGTAAATGGATATGCTGAGATGCGTTTAATTGACTTAGCATAACCAGTTGGCTAGTAGTTTACATGGAAAGTTTCATTCTACAAGAAGCAACCTTCAGCTAGTTAGGGGAAACTGAGGGTTGGTGGAAGCTAGCTGCTGAGCTTTGTGAACTCTAATGTTCTAACAGTTGAGGAAAAACAATGCTGTTCATCAGACCTAAGCAAATAACAAGAAAAAAAAAAAAAAAAAAGAAAGGATCTGAGGCCTGCAGTATCTCCTCTTCCTTCAACACCACTTTCTTCCACAACCTGATAAGGAAAGGAGGCTAGCTGTAATGTAAGAACAATGTAATGATTAACTTTAACATGAGGATCAGGTGTTCTTGAGCTTTTGTACAACACCTGCTGTTCTACTTTATATTGCTGGAAGATCAACAAGATCTCCAATGGTATTTTTACTTTAACAACAGGCAACTGGGCTCAGTTATACGCTCTCCCTTTCACTCCCTTTGCTAAGCACATTCCAGAGCAGCCCCTGTGAGGCCCTTTAAGTGGCTCAGCCAAGGAAAACATGGCTTTCATCACTACCATTCTGCTTTCTATTTTTCTTTCTAAGCACAAATGCATTCTTCCACTACCACAAATGATACAGTGAATTTCCCATGTTTGAAGAAACTGTAGGGATCAGCACACCCAGAGTGCAAAGTGGAGTCAATTACTCAAAGTCTATGTTTGCGATGTATTAATTCTTCCACATATACAGATTTATATATTGACCTCTGAATACTGTCACTATCATTTGGGACATTTTACCCAATTATGATGGCTAATTTCCATTTTTCTGGATCTGGCTTCTACTGAAGTTTTTACATACAGCAGTTAAAGCAAGTTATGTCAGCCACATCTACACACAAAACCCCACGCCTGGTTCTCAGAAGAGCAACACCTTAATTATGCTAGTATTGATGTTTTAAATTCCAAATTACTAAAAAAAAAGTTGATACTTCTTGGAGCAAAACATAACAGGAATTGAAAAGGAAAAAAAAAGTGTCGCTAGGAGAGTCTTGAGCTTCAAGTAAAGAACTAAAAAGCCTTTTGAATCCTCCTCTCTCCACAGCCTAACAAATATAGTCTCCTTATCACAAATACACAAGGACCACATGTGATGAATGAGTCAATTTGTGTATTTCTGTACAGCATCAAAACCAAGCTTGCATGCATAACTAAAGAGCAATGGTGAAGTTTCATAAGCAGAAACAAAATCTGAGCATGTCTTTCTTTGGGTTGCAACTCACCCTAGGATCTGAGCATCACAAGAGCTAATAGCTTATGGTAAGGAAAGAACTAAGTCTTATCTAGAAAGAGCATGAAGAGACTTTAAGGTTTAGACTCTTTCTCACCATTCCATAGGATAAGCTTAATGGGTTACCTACCTTGTTGCTAAAACGAGTCTCAGTATTAAAGCACATTGCTATTGATATAAAATAATAATAACGAAAAAGACAATTGTATTTAGCTAAGTTAGCTATAATTAACTAAAAGTTTAAGATTAACATTTCCTGGAAGCTATGATAAAACTGCAATAACAAATAGTGCTGTAAAATTTAAACAACCAGCATGAATAACATGACATACAAGATGCAGCTAAGAAGAACTAATCAAGATTTAACTTTTCAGCAGCTGTCTTTTAAAAATGCTGCCTGAGTTTGCATTAAAAAAAGAAGAAAAAAAGCAGCAGTACTTTTGCAGAAATAGGTAACCAAAACCCCAGCAACAAAAAAGCTTTTTGAGACTGGAGTAACAGACAGAACAGCCAGTACAAAGCACACACAAATCTAAACTCTACTCCTGACTAATTTTGAAGAGGCAACAGTTGTAGTCAGTTTGAATGACTCATTAGTACTGATCTGAAGCCTTGAAATCTTAAGAGGTTAGAACAATGTTCTGCAACCAAAGATCTCCAGTGAAAGAGAAAAAGCCAAACACAGCAGTAAACTGGAGCCAAACAAGTTCACTTTTGTTAAGAGAGTATCTATCTAGTTTGTACTAGGTCCATTAGTCCCAACTAATGCAAAATGCAGTCCTAAGCAGACATTGCAGTAACGTCTAACAGTATGCAAACTTCAGTCACTGCACAGTTTAAAAATTTTAAGACTTAACAAAATACAAAGGTACAACTGTTGTTTCTACTACTTTGGGGCTTAAAAAAAAACAGTGAAAATATTTCACTAAAATAAAGAATTCTACAGCTAGCAATATGTAACATCAGATCTCCCATTGCCATTAGAGAGAGAGCGCGCATGCGCACGTGTGCTTTCAGGGTCAAATCAAATGCACACAGTTTGTACCCCCATTGATACTGTTACAATATTTGCAGTCTAAAAGAGAAAAGAACAGGAAGGAAATAATTTAAAGCTTCCACAGTGGGTTCTTCCAGTACTTTGTTAAATTTCTGCAACCAACACCACATGGAGATCAGAGATGTCTGCCCCTAGTCTGAAGCCAAAACACCAGTTAAAGTAACAGAAATAATACTGTGACATGAAATTTAAGGTATATCAGTTAACACTGTGGGGGAAAAAAAGGCCACAATTGAAAGAATTAAACTAATTTATATTTCACTACTCAACAACAAAGTCATAATTTACTTGCATCACTTAATACTGACTTGACAGTAGTTACGTAATGATTTATTTTGGCTACTCTGCGTTCTTTATGATAACCAAGAAGAAAAAACTACTTCACTTTTCATGTAATTGGTTGTAGACAAAAGGTCAAGCCAGTTATTCTGGTCACATGAATACAACTAACAAGGAAAGTCAAGAGAGCAAAAGGAAAAGTTACATACCAAAGTCCATTCTATCTTTTTGGTTTCTCTGAAGCAAACCCAACAGCAGGTCAGCCAGATAAGCTGATGTTTCCCTAGGAATACTGCACACAAGAGGAAGTAAAACATGCATTAAATTTAATGCATGCATTAAATAATGCATAGCACATTAAATTCCAGGAAGTCAGCATTCTGCCATGTCCCTAAGTCTTCAGCTCTACAGCCTTAACACAGGACCTTTTCAACTCAGCAAGGTACAATGAAGGCAAGATGCAACATGAGTCACTGGTATCATACTACATCCTTGTAAAGGTAGCAACATCAAATATTTTTATGAATCCCAGGCATTCCCAAAGATGAAAAAGTGTTCAATCAACAAACGTAAGTGACAGCAAAGGCCATGATGACATACCTAGGAATCAAATTCCTGTTCTTTTCATAAAACATTCTCAAATCTTGAGGACTATTGGCCTGTCAAATAAAAATGTACATTAATTAAAGCTCAGTTTCACAAAGAAAATAGCTTTCGTACCTATGCACACATATACAAAAAGGCGCCTTTTGCATATGGGCATTGAAGGAGAAAACCCCAAGCACAGCAGTGACTTCAGTACTGAGTATCCTTATATATTTCCTCTGGATTGAACACACTGATCTCATAGACTAAGTATGAGCAACTTCTCCCTTGGTATCCTCAAGTGATCTTGCCTTTGAAGCATCGACACTACACTCGGACATCACTACATACTTCGGTTTTCATGACTGGAAGGAAAAGCCCTAGGAATTTCCATGAGACAAACAAAGAGGGAAAAGGAAATAAAGTGCTACCTGAAAAGGTGGTTTTCCAACAAGACACTGATAAATCACAGTTCCTATGCTCCACAGGTCTGCTTTAGCATCATAATGTTGAGACATAATCACTTCGGGGGCCTGGAAAGAACACCAAAATCTCAGAAGGGAAAACAAAAAAGCAAAGCCACAGCAATACGAATTCTACAGTTCTTCTGCCAGAGCAGTACTAACAGAGACCACTTTATCGTAAGGCAAAATTAACATTCTAACCTGCACCACATGACTTGAAAGGTAACAGTTCTATCTAAAATGAAAACTATGTTTCAAACCCACAGAAAACTACAAATGTTGATGTTCTAAAGAAAGCCTGCAGTGATCAGCATGTATGGGAATAAGAGGTAGGTGTTATTTACGTGGTTCATGCAGTCCTCCTTGTGGATAAATAACCAAGCATTTCATAAGGAATATCATTATTGCCGTTTTACATATACAAAAACAAGACAAGGGAAAGCAAAATGATCTTCCCATGACCATACAGTACAGTAGTGGCAGTGGCAAAGTCAGATAGTTCAGTGCTGAATTGACTACCAGGCTACTTAGTAAAAATTAATGACAATTCATCATTCCAAATTGTTTTTTTAAAAAAAACCCAAACAAACCAACCCCACATGTGAGAGAATACATTAAATAACTAGAATGAAAACATCAAGTAGTTTTTTTAACTACTAGTGTAAAGCTCTTCTAGCCTGTATTTGATGAATTTTTATTTTCTTAGAAACTGGGAAGGAGATAATACCCTATTTCAGGGGGAAAAAAAAAAAGTATGCAAGTGGGAATGAAACTACTTTGCCCCAAAAAATTAATGCTAAGATGTATTGCCTTTTAATTCTCTAAGATTCTTCCTCCCTCCAGCAGTAAGAAACATTCAATGTCTCTGATTTTAACAATTGTGATCTCCAAATCACAAGAAAAAATGGAGCCAGTAAAACTATGGAAAGGTGAACTGCATGCTGCCCTTAATACTTCTGAAGCAACATTAGGCATTCGCCAATCTGCAAGCAGTAAATTATTTTATTCTGGTAGGAGAATGTTTCAGATAAGCAACATAATCTGAAATACACTGTCACTTACCATATACATAGGGGAACCACATAGAGTGGCAGCCATCATGTTGCTATGCAGATAACGAGCAAAACCGAAGTCAGCTATGTAAAGAAACATAGTCATCAATGAAAAGAAAGATAATTTTCAAGTTTTTGAAGTCTAGAAATTACCGGTCTCTTATTTAAATCTGCTACAATTATCAGTTAGAGAGAAAAAGACAGGTATAATATATAGCCAACTACGTGGAATGGTTAAATCTATTTTGCACTGAGAGAATAATGTGTTATCTTCCAAATAGCAAGCCAAGAAACAGCAGTGGCATCATTTGCACAAACTGCTGCTCAGCCATCTCCTCAGCTGTAGAGCATGCTGTCTAGCATCAGCA